TGGAGGCGATTTAAATATCATGGGGGAGGGGGAAGCTGAGGGAAGCGTTCGGTGGCGAGAACAAAGCGGGGAAGAGAGACTCAAGTCGGGGGAGACAGCCAGACGCAGAAGGGGCCGCCGAGCAGATGCGGAAGCCTGCAGAGACGCAGGCAGGGGAAGCGACTGCAGCGCCCCCCCAACCCCCGCACAGCCGGGAGCACCGCGCCGTCCCGTGGCTCCTACTGTCCCATGAGGGGGGTCGCCTAAGCCCAGCCCGAAGCACCCTCGAAGCCGCCTTTGTGCAGCGACCCCAGGCGAGGGAGGGGGCCGAAGCAAGGAAGGCCGAGCAGAGGGCGCCCGAGAGCGCGCCACCGCCCCCTCCCCCCTCCCCCCCGTCTGGCCGCCCCCTTCCTTCCCAAGCTGCGAGCTCTTTGTTCCTGTCCCGGGGCCGGGGCCGGGGCGGCGCTCGGTACCTACGTGTCTTTGTGGAGCAGCGCCAGGCGCTCCTTGGGCACTTTGAGGCGCTGGGACAGCCGCTTCCGCAGCCCCTCCACCGTCTCGTCGGGGGACACCGACAACTCGTAGCGAGTGCCCGTGGTGCTGTGGATGGCCAGGCTCATGGACGCCGCTTCCGCCGCCGGGCCCAACTCGCAGGCGCCGCCGGGGGCCCCGCGCCGGCAGCTCCGGGCGCCGCCGGGCTGCGGCTCCATCCCCGGCCCGCGCTGGGGGGCTGGGGTCCGCGGGGCACCTCCAATCCTCGCCGCGCCTCCAGGCAGGGCCGGGGCTCCCCGAACCAGGGTTCTCAGGGACACTGGGGACGGGAGGCAGCGTATGTCCCCTTCGAGAAGGTCCCAGGAGCAAATGGCGAATCAAGAATCCCAGTGGCACTCCGGGGTCGCGTCGGCTCGTTGGGGCGCCTTCCGGGGGTGGGGACTGCACTTGCGGCTTCTTTCAAGGGCGGCGGGCGTCGACCGAGATAGGGCGGTCGAGGGGCGAAGGTCCTGAAGGAATGGGCCCCGCTGGCCGACCGCGCTTGGTGCCCTCTGCGGCTCGGGCCGCGCTTCCCGGCGCGTCACCTCCCTTAGCAACAGTCGCCGCCACCGCCGCCGCTCGAAGGATCTGGGGGTGAAAGTAACAAGAAAAAAAAGTTATAATGTAGCAACGTTCCAAGGGGCGGGGCCTCCGCCCCCTCCCATTCACTACTTACTCTGCCGGCCCTGCGCCGGCCAATCGGCGCGCGCCGAACACCTAGTGGGCTGCGTTGGCCGGCCAATGGCTGTAGCCGCGGGGCTGCCCCACGTGGCCGCCGGACCCGCCCCTGACCCCGCCCCTTCCCCGGTGGCCAAGGGGAGAGCGGCGGGGGTGGAGCTGGCGCCACAGAAGCCGGCCCCCACACCCCCGCCCGCTCCGGGGGCCATTCATAAGGCCTGATGCCCACAACAAAGGGCGAGCGGCTCGCGAGGGTGCGGGACTTCATCCCGGAGATGTGTGGCGTGAGGGTGGGCTTTGTCCCCGCGCCAGGAGGGGCAGGATATCGCGTGGCCTCTCCCCGCGTCTGTCCGGGAAGCTACCACGAGCGGAAGCGGGAGGCAATTCCCGCGCCTCGTGGCTGGGCCCGGTCCAGCGGCTCGGGGGAGGGTTTGATCTGGGAGCGTGAGGTCTCCAGGAGGAATGGGGCTGATGGCGAGGCTTGCATCCCGGTGACGTGGCCGGTGTTGGGGGGACCCTCCCCATGCCGATGCCACCTCGCGTCCCACCCCAGTCTCGCGGGCTGGACCCGCTTCTCGAGTCGCACCCACCCGAGCTATGACGTGACGCGGCGTCCCAGGCTGCGCTCGCGCGCACCGCTCCGCTCGGGGCTGCGGTGAGTCAGCAGCGCTAGCGCGCCCTCTGCGGGCCCCGTCCGGGAGCGCTAGCCGGGAGACCTGGGGAGGGGGCGCGAGGCTGCCCGGAGCAGGGGGCGAAGCCGACCCACTGCGGGCATGGGGAGACCCTCGCTGGGAGAGTGAAGCTTCTAAGTCATAAGACGCAGGCTGTACAGCCAGGAAAACAGGCTGGGACAGCAACTAGCTCAAGGTCACTTCGGGAAGGGAGAGTAGGGGGTGGGGGCTGAGGTCCCACTGAGAGGGTTCTGGCTGAGCCTTGCTCCTCCCACTCAACGTTCCATGGGGGCTGCCCAGGACTGGAGGTATCATGAATGCTGCCTGCCCCAAGAACAAAGAAAAGTGGGACACGCTTAAAAGCCTAAAGTGGGGAACCCCTCCTTGGCCCACAAGATCCCGCCCACAACTCACCGGGCACGGCCAGTGCGAAGTCCCCAACAGCCCTGAATGTACTTATGTCCAGAATAAATGCGTGGTGGCGGGGTAGGTCTGGGCCGAACGGGGCGGCCCCGAACCTTTATCCGCACCGCCTTCCCTGGGGTGGAGTTTGGGCGGGCAGGGCCGGTGGGAGGGAAGCTGTGACGCAGGCCACCTCGCGCCCCCCCCCCCCGCCCCTCCCAGCGGGGGGCGGGGGGGCGGGCACCGCCCGGCCTAGGCTAACTCGCCTGGCAAATGCCTGCGCTCCTAGAATGCTGCTGCTGTCGAACCCGAGTTCACGGTCGTCAGCGCTGACGACTCGGGCGCACCCCTACTTGGGCCACAGAGACTTGATTGCGGGGTGCTGGGTGGGAAGGGGAGCCTGAGTCAGAAGTGCAGTCCAGGAAAACAGGCCGAAATCACTGCCTGGAGTGGGGATGCCCCGGCAAGCAGCAGGCGGCCTCCTGCATCTCTTAACAGTGACCTCAGAGGACATTTATGGAGTGATTAACCAGCACCAGGCCTGCCTTGTACAGCTAGTCACATGTCCTGTGACCTGAGGATTTTGGCCTCTGGAGCCTGTTTCTCCTTGATGGCCACCGGGTGTAATGAAAATCCTGCAGGGCTCAATCTGGGGCCTGAGGTTTGGGTCCCTCACCTAGACACAGTAGTCAATGTAAGTTCACAGGCTGCTGCCCATCCACTGGGCTGGGCATAACCTCCCCCCCCCCCCCCCATTTTACATGCTAGGAAACAGTTCACACAGGTAGGAATGTGGCATGCCCTTTTTCCCTGCAGTTGCCCTGGGTAGGGGGCTTTCTGAGGATGATCCTGATTGATAGTGAGGCCCTCTTGGTCCTCCTGTCCTCCTCTGTCCAGGAGACCCCAAGTTCTACTCACCCACCCCCACTGTCCACTTCTCTGGTTTCTCCCTTTATCTGGCCTGAGCACCTCCACCTCCACCCTCCCAGGGCTGTGTTCCTTCCTGCTCTCACTCAATGCTCCTATGGCCTCTGTCCCTGCCACCCCTTCAAGCACACCCAGGCACTCCTAGCCCCACAAGGTCAGTCAGGGCTGGGCCAGAAGGAAGGAGTCACAGACTGGTGTTGAAGGATGGACAGGAGTTTGCTACATACACAGCATGGTGCTCCAGGAAATGGAAACAGGTTGTGGAGGCAGGATGAGGTTCAGGGTGGGAGCATGGAGGTGGCAGAGGAAGCAGAACAGGCTAGGTGGGACTAAGGGGTGGGGATGTTGTTGCTGTGGTGGGCAGAATTTTGTGATCTCAGGCTGGTCCCTGACCTTGCTGAAACAAACCCGAGTCACATATACTAGGGAGTGAAGGGTTGCTCTTAGGGGAACCCTCACTTTGCTCTGCAGATCTAACTTAATAAATGGGCTAATTGACTGGCTTCCCATTCCTTCCCACTTATTACTTATTATTTATATCCTCACCCAAGGACATTTTCCCATTTTTTGTTCAGATAGAGTGGGAGGGAGAAAGAGAAAGAGACAAAAACATCAACGTGAAAGGGACACATCAAGTGGCTGCCTCCTGCATGACCCAACCAGGGCCAGAGACAAACGGCAAACGAGGTATGTGCCCTTATCGGGAACCAAACCCGGGACTCTCTGGTCTGCAGGCCAACGCTCCAACTGCTGAGCCAAACTGGCCAGGGCCCTTGTTCTTATTTATATTACCCAGCATGGGCACAAACTCTAAGGCCTAGGCTCTGAGCCAGAGACAAGAAAGAGGGGAGCTGCATTTGTAACCCCTGGCTGTCATAGCCTTTCTGGGAAGTGGGGGACTGCTGTTTGGGCCTCACCAGCCTAACAGTAAGGAGACCCAGACACACACACCCAGAGCAGTGAGCTCACCTAGAGGACCCTACACACCAGTCTCTCATCATGTCAAGCTTCAAACACAGTCACTTACATGGGACTGTGACACACTAGTGCACAGCCCATCCTTACTGATGACACGCCCCAGGGTGGCCTGCCTGTGACACACAGGGAGGCCCAGGCTCTCCTGCACAGTCACTGCCCTGGAATAATCTACAGGCCCTACTTAGGCTCAGGGCTGAGGGGAGTGGGGCAAGAAGATCCCTGCCCTGTAGTCCTCTGCCTAACATCTGAAGCCCAAGTCTGGGTTGCTCCCAGGGTTATCAAATGGAGGAGGTGGAACAACACTGTGAAGCTGTGCACCGCCAGGGCTGCCCCTACCCCGACACCCCACCTCATCTAGGGCTGGCCCAGGGACTGGGGTGCCACAGAGATGCCAACACCAACGGGAGTTGGGCAGCCAGCCAGCCAGGGCCACCCACAGGCTGGGCCAGCACAAGGCAGTGCCTCCATGGGAGCAGCCAGGGCCTGCCCCTTCCTATTGGGGCAGGGCCAGGAAGCACACAGAGCAGAAATCACAGCCTGGAACCTGATTGGACTGGACCCTAGGTGTCTTGTCTAGCAGCCCAGGCCTGACCCAAGAGCCACAGCCAACCCCTATTCCACACCTGCTATCCCCATCCTCTTGGAGTGAAGGCCAGGACCCTGCCCATCACTTGGCCTGCTGTCACTAGCAGTGTTACCCCCCACTTCTCAGAGGCCCCCAAAGACGTCTCAGGCCACAACCTCCAAATCCCCGAGGCTGAGCCCCTACCTCACAGGGGATTATGGTGTCCCAAGCCCGCTGCCTAGGCAGAAAACAAAATCAGTACACACAAGCGGGGTCCCTGGTCTTTAATGGGGCACAGATTGGGGACAGACTGGTCCGGATGAGGCAGTGGAGAGCAGAGGTCTCTACAAGGACGAGAGTGGAAGGCAGCAGGTCAGGTTGGTTGGATCTCTGGATGACAGTCTTCCCAACACCACAGCAGGGTCTCTGAACTCACCCCACCCACCAGGCCTGGGCTCAAGGGTGTGCTTCTGGGAGAAGCTGACATTGTACTGCTCCCTGGTGGCCTTGTCAGCAAGGATGGCTCCTCCTAGAGGGGTTGCCCCACCCCCTCATACTGGATCCATGGGAGCTGGTTCCAACCCCCCCGCCCCCTTGGTTTTCCTTGGCAAAGGGCACACACCGCCTACTCCAGGGCCTTCACCAGGGCTTCATTGGCCTCAATGCGGATTTGGATCTCAGCCCTCGCAGCCTCATCCGCTGCCCCTGACAGCTCCGACTGTGCCTTCTCCAAGTTTGCCTTGGCCGCCTGTAGTAGGTGGTTGGTTGGTGAGGGCCAAACAGGGTCCCATGGTCTGACACCTGCCCTTCCACCCCAAAGCCAGGAATTCTTAGTTCATGTCTGCTTGGCGCCTCAATTTCTATTGGGACACTTACCCCCAGGTCCAACATATCCAGTGTCACAGCTTCTTCCGCCAGTAACTGAACTGATGAATCAGCATTCACTGTGACGGAGCCGCTGCTCACTGCAGGAGGAGGGATGGGTGAGGCTGCCATATCCAGGCTCAAGGGAAACCACTAGCCCCAGAACCAGGACAATGGCCCCATAAGGGCCCTGGGGTCCAGCGAGGGGGAAGAGTACCTGGAGAAAAAACAGGGGACCAGGAGCACCTGGGATGGGCACCTGGAGAGAACACAAAGGACCAGAGGGCCACCAGGGGCATCTGCTGGTGACAGGGCATGGGGACACAGACCCTTCCCTTCACCCAAGAGCCCATTCGCTGAGCACGGGTCAGGTGGACAGAGGACTGTGTTTGAATCCTGACTGGCTGTAGCTTGAAGGTTGATGCTGGTGGAAGGTCTTAGAACTAGTTTCTTTCTGCACAAGTTTCCTCTTCCTCTAAGTCAGGATCCCTCCCCAGCACATTTTTTTTTAATCCTCACTGGAGGGTATTTTTTGCATTTATCTTCAGATAGAGCAGGAGGGAGAAAGGGAGGAAGAGAGAGAAACATCGATGTGAGAGAGACACATCAACTGGCTGCCACCCACACGACCCCAATCGGAGCCAGGGACAAACTGCAACCAAGGTACGTGCCCTTAGCGGGAGCTCAACCCAGGTGTCTGGTCTGTGGGCCAACGCTCTAACCGCTGAGCTAAACCAGCCAGGGCCCCAGCACATTTTATTATTTTTTACTTTTAGAAAATGTTTATTAAAGATGAGGACAGCCCTGGCCGAATTGGCTCAGCGGTTAGAGCGTCGGCCTGTGGTCCGGAAAGACCCAGGTTCGGTTCCCGCTAAGGGCACGTACCTTGGTTGCAGTTTGTCCCCGGCCCTGGTTGGTCGTACGGGTGGCAGCCACTCGATGTGTCCCTTCACGTCGATGTTTCTCTCTCTCTCTCTTCCTCTCTCTCCCTCCCGCTCTCTCTGAACAAAAAAATGGAAAAATGTCCTAGGGTGAGGATAAAAAAAATAAAAAAATAAAAAAATAAAGATGAGGACAATGAAATAAGGAAGAGCCTAACTAAGACAGAAGAAGCAATAGGAGAGGGACTCAGTGGGGGAAATGAACCTAGGCTGGGCTGCTTTGGCTCACTAAGATGTAAGAGAAAAAGGGGCCTTGGGGACAGGGTCAGGAGATTAGCTGCTGTTGCCCATTGCTCCCTGGTTGCAATACTAGTGGGGTTGCTTAGAGTTTAGGAGATGCATGCCTGTGGGGGAAGAGGGAGAAGGAAAAGGTGCAGGCGTGCTCCTGGGAGGGAGAGCATACCTCCCCAGCACCATTTATTTATTTATTTATTTATTTATTTAATCCTCACCAAGGACATTTTTCCATTTTTTGTTCAGACAGAGTGGGAGGGAGAGAGAGGAAGAGAGAGAGAGAGAAACATCGACGTGAAAGGGACACATTGAGTGGCCACCACCCGCATGACCAACCAGGGCCAGGGACAAACTGCAACCGAGGTACATGCCCTTAGTGGGAACCAAACCCGGGTCTCTCTGTACTGCAGGCCGATGCTCTCACCGCTGAGCCAAACTGGCCAGGGCTCCCCAGCACCATTTTACGTCTCTTCCCAGCATCTGTTACCCTACCCCAACCCACTACAAGCTGCTTCTTTTTTTTTTATCCTCACCCGAGGACATTTTTCCATTTTTTTGTTCAGACAGAATGAGAGGAAGAGAGAGAGAGAGAGAAACATCGATGTGAAAGGGACACATCGAGTGTCTGCCACCTGCACAACCCAACCAGGGCCGAGGACAAACTGCTACTGAGGTACATGCCTTTAGCGGGAACCAAACCCGGGTCTCTCGGGACCGCAGGCTGATGCTCTAACTGCTGAGCCAAACCGGCCAGGGCTGCAAGCTTCTTAACCAAAGCCAGTCTGAAGGTGGAGGTTGCAAGATGCTTCTGGCCTGCTTCCCAATGCGTCCTCCCAATGCCCACAGCCCTTTTTCTTGCCTTATCAATAGATATGGGGACTGACTTGGTGCAATGTGCAGCCTTGCCCAGCCTTGTCCCTCTGTCCTTATGCTGGACTTACCAAAGTATTTGGAGGTGGTGCCATCCTCAGCGTGGACAACCACCAGCCCTGGCCGCAGGACCTGCAGGGTGGGCACATGGGCTGCCAGGATACCAAAGGCTCCTGTCTGCGTGGGCACATCCACCTGCCGAACGTTGGCTCCATTGAAGAAGACCTGGAGAAGATACATGGAAAACAGATAACTGCAGGCCAGTCCCACATCATGGGATTCTGTCTCCCCAGTAGTGAAATGGGCTGGGGCATAGCTGAGTGCTAAAGGGAGACACAGAAGCAGCCGGGCTGAGGCTGAAGTTTGGGTTTTGGTCCTTGGGCAGGACCTCAGTGCCATCATCTGTGAGAAAGAAATCCAGCCACCCAAGCCCTTCGGCAGAGATGCTATAAGGATACGAGGAGGTGCCTGCCAATAGAGAGGCACCTAGGAGGTGCTAATCTCTCGGGAGAGGTGCCCGCAGCAAGGGGAAAATGCCGGCTTGAAGGGTAGATGTGGCCCTTGGGCGTCGGATTCCAGGTGTAAGGCTCGGGAGCTTGGGAGGTTGGGTGGGGGAACTTGGGAGGTTGGGTGGGGGCCGGATCCCAGACCACACGATGAAGGGACACCGGTATGCAGTGCGAAATAGTTGTCGGCTCGGATCCCGGGTCCGGAATGGGGGTCGGCGACCTGGGGGTTGGGGAGCTTGATCCGAAATGAGGGTTGGGGATTCGGGCCTGGACCACGAAGGAGAGGGGCGCGGACCTGGGGTCCGGAATGGGGTCCGAACCTGTGTGGGTGAGGCGAAGGTAAAAGACATTTGTCCCGGGCCCGCGGCAGAAACCGGGGCGGCCGCGGCCTCGGCGTAGGCGCGGGCCTGGCCCACGAGGCGACCCAGACCGGGGCGGCGGAGGAGCGCGGCTGGCAGCATGGCGGAGGCGGCGGCAGGTAGACGATGAGGATCACGCTCTGGGCCGAACTCGGGCAGGCTGGAGGGCGAGTAGGACGACGCGCGGAGACGTCTGGGGGAAGAATTAGTAGCGAAGGCGCACGCGCAAACTACTACTCCCGACTGGCCACGCGCCGCCGGGTTCTCGGCATTATGGAGGTTGTAGTTTCTTTTCGGCCCCAGCTCGCAGACCGCTTGTCAAGTGTGTGTGTTGGGATGGGTTGGGGGGAGGAGGATGTTGGTTAGACGGTTCTACGCCAAGAAGGAGACAGTTAAGTCGAATTCAAGATTTGGGGAGCACTCACTAGATGCCAGAACCTGGAGAGACATCAGAGAAATACCGAGATTCCATCTCTGGTGTGGGTGGTGGGGGAGTTTTACACACTTCCAACGTAATAACTAAACAAATCATATAGTATGCTAGGAGAAGACAAATACTTAAAAAAAAAAAGAAAGTAGCAAAAGAGTGTAAGGGGCGGGATGAGTCAGGCTGAAACTGAGGCAGGTGCAAAAATCCCGGGAACGGCATCCTCAGGCGGAGGGTCCAGCACAAGCAAGCGCCCGCAATGCGAGCACGGCTTGGCTGCAATCCCCGCGAGCGCCACGAAACGGCGCCCTCACGTCCGGAGATGCTGTTGTCTCGACCGGGCGGGGCCGTCGCCTCCGCCAGCCGCTGACGCACTGCCGCGTGTGCGGTCGGCCCGGGGCTCCGCTGACATCACCGCGGCCTGCGCAGCCTCGCTCGCGGCGCTGACGTCACCGCCCCGCCTCCGCGGTCACGCACGCAGGTCTGCGCACTGGGCCGAGCCCCCAGCCCCCCACCTTGGGCTCCGGGAAAACGCGGAGTTCGGGATGAACAGGAAGGCCTATGTTGAGGAGCAGAGGGATGCAAGGCGCAGAGGAATGGGGTCACATCTGAGCCAGGGGCGGTGGTCTGCGATGCAGGGCAGCTGCAGAGGCTCCCCAACCCCAGGGGATGCATGAGTCCTTGCTTACTGCAGGATCCAGGCATGAGCTGGGACTGCGCCCCTGCCTCCCAGCATCTAGGCCGAAAAAGCACCCTCTGGGCCCTAGAGGTGGGGTGGGGTGTGCATTGGAAGCCCTACTCACGTGTCTAGGGGTGCATCATGTGGTCATGTACACAGCTCGATCTCTCCTGGAGGCCCAGACCCCATAGCAAGGCCTGATCTAGCCAATGGGCTGCTCAAACCCATCCACTGGATGACTTCTTTCCAATCTCCATTCCAATGTGGCCCATGAGTAAAGGCACCACCTGTTACTCAGGTCTCAAACCTGGGGTTATCGTGGAATACCCTGGTGGATCATTGACAAGGTCTGTCCGTTCAGCTAGGCCACCATCACCGATTTGGATGGTCCTAGCCTTCTCCCCTAGCCTCACCACAGGTACCTTCTCCACACACAGACAGAAGGACCATGTTATTCCCCTGCTAGGAACCACAAGATGGTTTGCCCTGCTTCCTCAAACAGGTCAATCTTCTGTAAATATACCTTCCTACCTCAGGGCCTTTGTACCTGCCCTCCCTACTCACCTGGAATTAGCTTTCCTGGGTATTAATCCACTTGGCTGCCTCTTGCCCTCTTTTAATGGTATCACCTTTTCATCCACTCAATAAGCATGTTCCCTCCCAGGGTGCACATAGCCTTGTGCTAAGCCTGGGGACACAGCCGAGAATGAGCTCCTACACTTGGAGCTCACCTGTAGTGGGAGCAGGTATGAGTAGAGACACAACACACCGGGGGCTAGTAAGATAATGGGCCACAGTTGGAAACAAAGTACAGCAGGGGACAGGCGTGTAGAGGGGTGGCTGCCATGTTTGCAGACACAGACAAGAGGAGAGGCATGGAGGCTTTGCTATTTGGGAAGTGTTGAAGGGGGCAAGGAGGGCCTCTCAAGGTTGAGCTGAGGAACAGGGGTCTTGCCTGTCACCTGAGAGTGCAAATGCCTGGAGGTTGAATTTAGGCATCACAGAGCAGTGTGGGCTTTCCCTGGAGAAGGGGTGTCGTTGTGGGGTTGTGGGGTGTGGCTGGGATGGGACTGGGATTAGGCGGATGGCAGGTTGGTGGCCTAAGCCATCTAGAAGGAAGAGGCACGTTTCGGAGTGGGAGAGAGAAAAGGGGGAGCAGCTTTGGAGTTTGCCAGGAGTGGGGTTTCTGCAGGGTAGTTCTGTCACCGGCGCTGGGCAGGCCCTCGTGGCACTCAATACAGGTTGTGACCTATTATCTTTGCTCGTCCCTACAAGGCAGGGCGCACGGAGAACCCTGACAGTGCCGCCCTCACACAAGAAGAGAAGACAGCCGAACCCCCTGGGTTGTGCACCTCAGGGACCCCCAGATTTGGGGGAAGATAAGGAGGGGGAATCTATGCATCACAGGTCCCCGGGTTGGGGGGAGTCGTGGGTCCCAGGACCACCTTTCGGGATCCCGGGAAAGGTCGGGAAGTCGTGCTGCAGGGGCTGGGGGCGGAGATCAGCCGCGGCGGGAGAGGGCGGCTCCGCGTGGGGAGGGGGCGCCAGGGAGCGCAAGCTCCGCCCCCCCGCCCCCGCCGGAAGGGAAAAGGAGGCGGTGGCCGGTGCGGACTGAGCCAGACGCAGTGGCGAGCCCGGTGGGGGCTGCCGGTCAGGACCCGGCGGCACCCAGCGTGTGGGAGCGGGCTGGTAGCCAACGCGGTCACGTGAGCGGCCCCTCCTCTCTCGCCTGCCTCCCCCACGCACCGGGCTCTCCATTCATAAATTCTCCTCCTGCTCTGCGGCCACCGGGCGCCGGAGCCCGCCGGGAGCGCCGCGCAGTCGCCCGCCCGCTACCCATGGGCCGCACGCCCCGAGACTGAGGTAGGCGCGGCGGGCCCGGGGCTGCATCGGGGCGGGCGGGGATCAGGCGGGGACCGCGGAGCCCAGGATCGCGGCCGGCTGCGGGGCCCGCCCTGGCTCAGGACCACTGTCCTTTCCCTGCGAAGCTTGAGGGAGGGATCGGAGGATTGGGGCGGGCGTGGGAGCCAACCCGCGGGGCTCTACACATTGCCTTCGGCGGGCCGAAGAGGGACCCCCGCCGGCACCCTTCCTCGGACTCAGTTTCCCCTTGGGAGATCCTGCGAGGGCGAGGGCGTTTCCGCCTCCTGGCTCAGCTCGAGGTTGAGATATGCCTGGAGCCGGGCTCTCTGCCTATCCTCACTCGCCATCCCCGCCCCCGGGGCCGGATGTGAGCGCGGGTTAGGCGCAAAGGCTAACGAGCTTGAGGAGCCCAGGCCCGGTCGAACCTCAGGGTCTGGCCGGTGGGGAACCTCCACCCCCGGACCCTGTCCCCGCCTACTCCCGAATGCCCACCTCTCTTCTTCCTCCACCTCCTGCCATCTTCCCTGGTCTCCTGTCAGGTCCATGCGCCTCTGTCTCCTCCCCCTCCAGTCTGAACTCATTTCTCAACCTACATACAGGCGCACCTAATACCCAAGTAGACAGGGGAGCCGCGGCCAGACTCTGACCCCGACCCCGAGCACTGAGGCCACCTGGCTTTCGCCGGCGTGTTTCCCATGCTGTTGCATGGGGTCAAAACCCGAAAGTGTTAGGAACGCTGGAACCTGTGCACAGGCTTTCCCATTCCTCTGGGGAAGAACCGAGAAGGCGCCGAGCTGACTTGGGACTGCTGGTCATCGCCCCAAACTCTGTTCCCTGAGATTCCAGAGTGCGTCCCCTTCCACCCTGCTGGAAGGAGGGTCAAGTGCAATGTCCGGACAGCTCTTTTCCCGAGTGCCGTGCCCCTCCCCTGCCTCAGTTTCCCTCAGCGTAAGGCAGGCGTGGAGGTCTGCCAGCCCGCGCTGGGAGAGGCTGCTGGCGGAAGCACTCGGCCTCGGCCTGGGCACCCGCGCGGGAGGAGGCGCGCAGCAGCCATTTTGCTGCCCAGGGCCCGCTCGAGTCGCCCCTGCAGGAGGCCTCCCTCCCACGCGCCGCCCTGCCCCGCCCCTCCCCAGTACTCCCTGGCAACACCCCCCCTCCCAGCTCAGCCTGCTCTCTCAGTCGCCATGGGAACCAGATTCTTCTGAGCTGCGAACAGATGCGCCTTTTTTGGCCTTTTCACTCCCACTATTGCTCTAAGACCCTATGCTCAGCCCCTCCGCCCTGCTCCCAGTAGTGGACTACTGGGTCCGTGCTAGCCTGGAGTCTCCTGAGGCGGCCTGTCCCTTTCCCCTGATGAGGCAGGCAGGGCCCTGTTGTCTCTCCGGGTGGTGGGCACGCAGGTAGAGCTTACAGCCTCAGTTTCTCCATTCTCCCACGGGTGCTTCCTCTTTCCTGGGCAGGGCTTCTGTCCCAGTGCTGCTACCTTGCCAGTCCGGCCCCACCAGCTGGGGAGGTGGTTGACTTCCATCTTAAAGATGGGGAGATGGAGGCCCCTGCTGAGCACTGATCTGAGGGGGTGGGAGTGGCCTCAGGTTCCCCCCACCTCTCTGTGAGTCACTGACCTATGTGGGCTCCTGCTCTGACTCCCTGGGATGAGGGAGGGGGCAGGTACAAGGGAGCTGGAGCTGAGCAGGCCCTGCCCCTGCCTCCCCCCTCCAGGCCTGTTCTCTACCTCAGAATGCAGCCCACGGCCACCATGGCCACAGCTGCTTCCACCTCCACCACGGCCACCCTGACCACGACGTGGGATAATACCACAGGACGCCCCACTGTGAGTGATGGGGTTGGGGAAGGAGATTGGCTGGTCTGGACCACCAGAGTCTAGGCAGGACCTGACTTCTGTCACCCCACAGGCAGAGCCTGACCCCATGTTGGACAACTATATGCTGCTGGTGGTGGTGATGTCGCTCTTTGTTGGGGGGACCCTTGTGGTGCTGTCCGGTGTGTTGCTCCTGTGCAGGCGCTGCTGGGAAGTCCACCAAGGCTTCAACAGGTGCGTGTCCACCACCCCACTGCTTTCCAGGAGGCTTGGGAGGCCCTGGAGCCTGGTGAACATCTGGCAGCTGGCCAGTGGGGAGCAGGTGCACCATACCTGTGCAGGGGCAGCGATGTTTGAGGATGATGGGTGCACGTATGTTTGTGCAGAAACCAGGTCCCAGCAGGTGGGCTCCAGTGAGCTCAGGACACTGCCCATAGGTACAAGCCCTGCAGGGACCCTGGCCCATCTTGTTCTCCTGTTGTCCCACCCCAGAGCCACGGAGGAGGCAGAGAAGACGACCACCACCTACCTGGATACCAGCACCCACCTGGTCCAAGGTGAGGTGCCACCCAGGACCCACCCCTTTCCATTCCTTGGCCTCCCCCCTTGGGCCTCCTGACCTTCTGTGTCTGTCTGTCTCCCCCACCAGACTGGGCGCAGCTCGATTCCGACTCATCTCTGTTTCCTTAAAGCCCACGCGTAGGTGCTCACAGGCGCCTGCTGAGTGAGTGAGTGTGTGAGCGGATGAGCGAGTGCCCACCCACCTCCCTGTCCATCCCTGGTGGTCAGTTGGGCTCCCTCACTCCCTTCCCGGCCCATCCCGCCCACAGCCTGCCAGCACCAGGTGAGGCCCACCCGGGGCCCACCCTCTTTTGGCTCTCCTCACAGACCCTGAATTGAGGGGGGAGGACCTCGAGGGCCAGGATGCAGAGACCGAGCGCTTCCTGTCCACCAGCTCCACCGGCCGCCGAGTGTCCTTTAATGAGGCAGCCCTGTTTGAGCAGAGCCGGAAGGCGCAGGACAAGGGCCGAAGGTAAGAGGATCCCTGGGAGGTCGGCATCTACAGGGATGGAGCATGGCCTTGATACTGGGTTCACTGGGCAGAGTGTGCCTCTGCTGAGTGGCTGCCATTTATGCTCTGCTCTCCCCAGACCCAGCAGGGTGGACGATGGGGCCATGGAGCATCAGATTGTGGACTGGGGGAATCTGGCCTGTGTAGGGTGGGCCGAGTACAGGGACGGGCTGCTGGGTGACTGGTGGGTATGCTGGGTACAGGTATACCCTAACAGAGGGGGACTTCCATCACCTGAAGAATGCTCGCCTCACCCACTTGCACCTGCCGCCCCTCAAGATTGTCACCATCCACGAGTGTGACTCCAGCGAGGCCAGCGCAACTACCATGCCTCACCCCACAGCACCTCCCAAGACCAGCCTTGCCATATTCCAGGTGAGTATTGGAGGGGTTAGCTGCCAAACCTGGGCTTGGTGGGAGGGACCCCCACACTCGCCGGGCAGGTGGCACTTTTCCCACTCTCTGGGCAGCCCTTTATCTCAGAACAGGGAGGGAGGCTGGTGTGGTACACAGAGGGTGGCTGGGCCCAGCATGCCCCCTCACCCACCAGTGCTCTTTGACTTGTCACTGCTTCCTCCTCCACCTGGCTCTGTCCCACAGCCCCCGGGGAAGGCCCTCACTGGCCGCTCCGTGGGCCCCAGCTCCGCCTTGCCAGGTGACCCCTACAACCCTGCCACGGGCCCTGCTGACTTCGAGATCAGCTGTTCCTCATCCAGTGACTCCGGGGAAGGCACCTCGGTGAGGGCTCCCTTGTGTCCCTTTTCTCTCCCTGTCCTGCTTCGGGATAGGTCAGCCTGTGGCCTCCCACTTCCACAGCTCTCCTTGTCCCGGCCTGGTCCCCGAACAGCCACAGCACATAAGTGGGTTCCTGTGAGCTGGGGAAGCTGCCCATGGATATGAGCCCTGCGGGGTGGGTAGCACACAGGACACGTGCACATGAGTATGCTCACACATGCACAAGGCACTCAGGCAGCTGGGCAGGTTGAGCTCAGGACCTAGCCCAAGCCTCAGGGTGAGCGCTCCCCGACATTCACCCTTAGACCACCTCCCCAGGGCTGGGAGGACAGAACTAGCCAGCACCTGGCTGAGCCCCTGGGAAACTTTTGGGCAGTGTCTGAGGGGAGCAGAGAGCTCCCTGCTCTCCCTCTGCACTTAACCTGGGCTGAGTAATAGGTGGGGATAGTGGAGAAGGGACCTTCCTGCCTGAGAGCATCCATCTTCCATCCCAGCTGGATGTGGGTGCGAAGAGCACCAAGCCTGGCGGGCTAGGGACCTCTGTCGGGCCTCGGGAGGCTGTCCCAGGCTCTGGGACAGGCCCAGTCCTGCAGTTCTTCACCCGCCTGAGGCGTCATGCCAGCTTGGACGGGGCTAGTCCCTACTTCAAGGTCAAGAAATGGAAGCTGGAGCCCAGCCAGCGGGCATCAAGTCTGGACACGAGAGGTGAGCTGTGGCCCCTGGCAGGGAGTGAGGACTGGGAACCTGCCCCAGGCAATCAGAGTGGGATGCTCAGAACCCAGGGTGGGGTCTCTGCTCCTGAGGGGTCTCCAGGGCCTGCTCCATGCTGGCCAATGGGTGCCTTGTCCAAGATCTCAGAGCTGATCAAGAGGCGGCCCAGGGCCATGCACTGAGCTTCTATGGGGCCCTAGATGATAGTGTTTTGGTTTCCCAGTTACTCTACAGTGGTGGTGGACAAGCAGCAGTATATGGTATGGAAACGAGTGCAGCTGTGTGCCAATAGCTTATTTACAACAAGGGGAGCCCATTTGGCCACCCCTGGACGAATAACAGCAACTTTCAACCCTGCAGACCTAGGGTCACGTGGGGTGCTGGATATAGGGCTTTCTTATCCTCAGCCCTAGGCAGGGTTGTATGGGGGCATGGGGAGTTGGGCACCACACTGTAACCAGCACTGCTCAAGAGAGCTTTGTGGGCCAAGCCAGGCCATGCATGTGCCTGTTGTCCTGTGGAGGAAGTGGGAGAGGGGACAAACTGTCAGAGAGAGAAGGTACGTGGCCAGTGACAGTGCCAGCCAGCCTCCTTGTTGGGGCCTGGCTCCAGCCGTCATCAGAGAGGGAGGGGTGAGTTCTGGCCTAGGTGCTCCTAGGCAGGGAGGGAGGGTCTGTCCCACTGCCCTTTTGGGAGCCCAGAGGCAGCCTGTGATTCCTGAGGGTGACTATAGTTAAGTGCAGGTGCAGAAGCACCCAGAACCTACCTATTTGCTAGGTGACTGTCCTCCCTACCCCTGAGGCTTTCCCACTGAAGCTTCTCCCAGGCCTCTGTGGTGGGAGGGTCCTGGCTTCTGTCCAGGTGGCCCATTGGCAGGGGTGAGGCTGGCAGGAGAGGGCTTTAGCTCTTCCCTCATCCCCCCAACCTGTCCCTCACAATCCCACTCCTTCCCGAATCTGTGCTTTATAAAGCCCAGCTGTGTATGCCACTAGGTGACCAGTGGAAGTCCCTGCTGTAGCCACACCTGTCTTCCCTGGCTGCTCAGGGCACTGCTGCTGCCTTGGCACAATTCCCTGTACAGCAGGGTGCACGCTCACCTGGCCCAGGCTGGTGCCTGCAGGCCCCGGGGGTGGGGGTGGGGTGCAGTGCTGGGAGGGGCCCAGGCAGGCTGATGTGCCTCCCTCTGCACAGGCTCCCCCAAGCGGCACCACTTCCAGAGGCAGCGAGCAGCCAGCGAGAGCATGGAGCAGGAGGAGGGGGACACCCCTCACATGGACTTCATCCAGTACATTGCCAGCACAGGCGCTGCCATGACCTTCCCGCCCCCCTGCCCCTTTCTGGCCAGCCCCACCAGCCCGTCCCCCACTCTCGGCAGGTATTTTTCAGTAGATAAAGGTGCTAAGGGTGGGCCTGTGGGCCCCTGCCCTACCCAGTCACCCATAGGTAGCCAAGGAAGTGCTTTCCCCAACCTGTCTACAGGGCAGGCAATCAATTTTCTCTGGTGCCACTGGCCCTCCGGAAGGCTACCTTGCTGGGGCCACTTCTGCAGCATGGACCATGGACTGGAGGAGGGGAGCAGGGGGAGACTGGGTAAGGGCAAAGGGGAGGGTCCCCAGGACTAAACGTCTACTCGCCTACTCTGGCGGGCTGAGGGGAGTCCCTAGTGGAGTTCTTGGCCTGAGGGGTCCCTCCCATCTGCCCAGGCTCCTTCTCAAAAATTGTTCTGACCCCATCTGCCAGCAGGACCCCCTCCCCCTGCCCAAGGGTAGCTATCCTAAAGCTCTTGGCCTATGTTAGTGATATGGGTGAATCAGAGAGCAGGGCAGGTTCCCACACTTGGGCATTTCCTGGTCTGGGTAGTGACCCCTTCTGATTGTGTATCATCCTCCTAGTTTCTTATCAATCCAAGTGTCATATCCAGTCACCCAGGGGTAGGGGACCTCCACCTGCTTAGTCCCTCCTCACTGCCCCTGTCCACACAAAGATGTGAGGAAGAAGGCGCCTTGGAAGAAAGCATTGCTTTTTCTGCGTGAGGACCCAACCACCTGCAGTGTCCACAGGTGTTTGGGTCACATATTGTATAAGACACCCTGGTTGGAAAGCAGGCTTAAGAAGGCTCAGAGTTTACCAAAAAGGCACCCTCATGCCCCTCTGCAAAAGAGACAGTATTTTATTTACCTTTTTTTTTTTTTATTAGTGGTACGTGCTCCTAGCGGGAACTGAACCCGGGACTCTCTGGTCCGCAGGCCGACACTCAACCACTGAGCCAAACTTGCCAGGGCTACTTTTTTTTTTTTTTAATCCTCACCAAGGATATTTTCCCATTATCTTCAGATAGAGTGGGAGGGAGGGAGAGAAAGGGAGGAAGAGAGAGAGAAACATCAGTGTGAGAGAAACACATCAACTGGTTGCCTACTACACAACCCCGACCAGGTCCTGGGAGGAACCTGCAACCCAGGTACATGCCCTTGACTGGAATCAAACCCGGGACTCATTGGTTTGAGGGCCGATGCTCTAACAGCTAAGTCAGGGCTACTTACTACTTTTTGGTTTTTTTTTGTGGTACGTGCCCCTAGTGGGAACTGAACCCGGGACTCTCTGGTCCGCAGGTCAACGCTTAACCGCTGAGCAAACTGGCCAGAACTATTTTTTAAATATAAACAGATGTTTATACTTTTTTTGTTAAAACTAACCTGAGGATATTTTTTCATTGATTTTTAGATGAGAGGGAAGGAGGGAGGGAGGGAGGGAGGAACATGGATGTGTTGGTTGCCTCACCCACAGCCCCAGTCATCTGGGGATTGAACCTGCAACTCAGGTACATGCCCTTGACCGTGAATCGAACCCAAACCCTTCTGTCAGCAGGCGGATGTTCTAACTGCTGGGCAAAACCAACCAGGGGGAGGAAGTGGAGGCAGTATTTTTTAAAAATTCACCTTCCACAGAGCCTGGCCAAGGTGGAGAGTCCCCATCCATGCCCACTCTTCCTGACCCAGCAGGTTGGCTGGGGATGGGAGGGGAGAACCCTCTGACTGTTGCACCTGGCTTGCAGGCTAGAGGTGGAGGAGGAGGCAGGCACCGCTGGAGGAGTGAACACGGAGTCCCCCACGGAGCGCAACATAGGTGGCACCGGGCATGAACAGCAGCAGGAGTCGGATAGTGAGCGGGACACGGGGTCTGAGCACACCCAGACCATCTACCGGGACATCTGGAGCCTGCGTGCCTCGCTTGAGCTGCATGCAGCCACTGCCTCAGACCACAGCAGCAACGACCGCGACTCTGTGCGCAGCGGAGATAGCTCTGGCTCTGGAGGCACGGCACCTGCCTTTCCCTCGCCCTCACCACCGCCCACGCTGCGGCCCTCGGATGGTGAGATGGGAGGGCCGCGCAAGCTGCTACAGATGGACAGTGGCTACGCTAGCATCGAGGGGCGCAGCATGGGTGACGATGGGCCTCCCAGCGCGCCAGAGAAGCGTTCCTTCACCAGTGCGGGCCACGTGGCTACCATGGAGGGAAGCTTTGAAGGTGTTCCTGCAGAGGAGTGCGCCTGGCCTCGCAGCCCACGTACCTGGTCCCGCCGCACACCACGCCGGGACTACAGTGTGGACGAGAAGACTGACGCCCTCTTCCACGAGTTTCTGCGCCACGACCCACACTTCGATGATGCTCCGCCTGCCGCTGCACGCCATCGAGCACGCGCGCACCCGCACACCCATGTGCGCAAGCAGTGGCAACAGCGCGGCAGGCAGCACAGTGACCCTGGCGAGCGCCCTGTGCCCTCTGCACCAGTGGGGCCCGACCCCCGCCCCACGCGCGCACCTCTGCGCCGTGGAGACAGTGTCGACTGCCCGCCCGACAGCCGCACAGGTGAAGAACCAGTTAGTCCCCCAGTGCCCACCATCCCTGCCATTGAGGAGGAGCCTGGCGGTGGGTGCCCAGGATCAGGCCTGTGTGCTCGGCCCTCAGAGGCACTGCTGGACAAGCTGGCAACTGGCCTTGAGGACAGACTCTTACTGCCACACCTCGCCCGGCCCATTGCTGCGGCCCCCACACTGGCCACTGCCACTGCAGCACCCACGTCCCCAGACCACAGTCCGGCCTAAGGTCCCCGTCCCGCGCTCCATCTTTTACTGCGTGCACAAGGTCTCTGTGGCAGGTCCTATTGGAGGTGGGAGGTGCTGGTGTGCAGGCTGAGGTGTGAGGTGCAAGTATATGACCCCAGACACCCCACACTGCCCCGGTGTGAATGTGCATACCCTCCAGTCACTAAGCTGGGTTCCCGTGTCATTTCAAGGCACAGGGACCCTGGCTTATCTGAAGGGAGCAAGGCGTAGTCTCATCTTGGAGCTCCTGAAGAAGGCGTTCACCTGCCCTTACCCTGATAGTGCAGCCTCTGGATGGTGGTAGGGGTTTTGTTTGCAGGAAACACCTATACCCTGGAGGGACAGTGTGGCCTGCCTGTGTGAGGCGCATGCACAGAGCACCCTTCCCAGAGCCAACTGAGCTTCGAGGCACATCTGGTCTGCAGTTGCTGAGTCCACACCAGAGAGCATTCACCACCACAGGGTGCTAAGGATGGGTGAAGAGTGGACAGGTGTGGCTGCCAATTCCCGGAGCCATTACCTCACTGGGGGGGTGGGGGAGGTGTTCGGTGTGTTCACTGCAGTCCAAGCCTTCTCCAAGCAATAACCACGCCCACTGCTGCTGCTGCCCCCAGCCCTAGAAGACTCCTCCCTCTACCTTCCTTCTGGTGTCCATAGCTGTCCTCTGCATGTGAGTGGCCAGCTAGCCTGGCATCCACACATCCAAAGAGCCCCAAGACTCATCAGTGTTTGAGACTGACAAAAACCCAATTGGCCAAGGTTTCAAGTTTCCCAAGCTTTATTTATTGCCAAAAGATGGGGCAGCTGAGCCACCCCGCCCCATTCCTCAAAGCTTCCTGCAGTCTGTGTACCATAGTGATGGAATTTCTTGTTTTGTTTTCTGGTTGATTATAAATATTTACTGCATAATCTTGCTCACTGTTTTTTTCTCTTGGGATCTAGGCACAGAGGCCTTGGGGGAAAGGGCCAGGGTCCTGCAGTCACATTCAGTCCCTGCACTGTGGAGCGGTAGGCTGTAGGGCTGAACCGAGGGGCCTGTTGAGCTTTGGAGAGGCAAGATTGCCACTGGCAGGGCACAGAGGGCCAGTGTGGTCAAAAGCAGGCCCCCGTGGAGGCCCAGGACTTCTAGGTGCTGCCAAAAAGACCTGAAGACCCTGGCCAGCCCCTACACTGTGGGGTCCGAGGAGGGGCCCCAGGTGCAGACTCGGATAACCCACCTGACAGCACATCCTGCCACCCGACAATTCCCATACACCCCTCACAACCACAGCTCAAATCGACCTGTTTTATTTTTTTCTTAAAAAAAAAAAAAGGAAAAGAAACCAACCAAACAACAAAAACAAGGCAGCCACCTGGCTCCCACGGGCACTGGGCATGCGTTTTGTTGGGCAGGCCCGTCCACCCCTGATTAGCTGCAGTTTGTTTAAACACATCACTAGGTATGGGAGGTGCTAACATGTACCAAAGTAAAGAGAAGTCAGGTGAGAACCAGTAGTCTAAACGTAAAGTGCAAGGCGAGGTCTGTGCAAGGCCCATGGCCTGGCCCCACCCTCCCTTGGCCAAGAAAGGGGCCCAGCACAGGACTGCAAAGTCAAAAGGAGGTTGTATCCATTGCCCACGAATGGGGAGGAGGAATAGACCCCAGTCTCTGCTGTCCCCTAGCCACAGCCCTCCAGGAACACCCACCCTGGCTTCTTGAGAGGCGGTCAGCATGAAGGGTGTGGCGGCCTTCCTGGGTGGTGGGTAGTGGGTGAGCAGTCGTTGGGAAGACTGAGGAGGACCTGAGCCATGGCACCTGGCCAGGGCTCTCGGAGACAGGCTGCAGATGGACAAAAGATGTGTCGATCCTAGGTCAGCAAACACGCTCTGCATCCCCAGGGGCTTCCCTACACTGAAGCCCACTGATAGGGCAGGAAAACTGAGCCCCAGTCCCATGGGATTATCAGACATGTGGAGAGGCCAGGAAAAGCTTTGTTGACTCGAGGGGCCACCCTGTGAGTCACTCATTGCTCACCAGGATTAAGCAGGGCCCTCAGAGGTCCTGTGCTGGGCAGGGGCAGCTGCTGCCTCAGGCCCACACCCAACTCCCACATCCTAAGCAGGTGACAGAATCTCCAGCACCTTCCTGGACTAGAGCAGCCAGGGATAGGAGAGGGAAACAGGAACCAGGATTATAGCCTCAGCTAAACTCAAGCCACCCCCAATACCACTGTCCTAGGAGCAACCTGGGGCTAGGGCAGGGCAAGCTCCTCAACCCACCCCCAGCCTTCCTCCTGGCACAGGGGCTCCACCTCTTGAATGACCTCTGCCCCTGACCCTGGTGGCAGTGATCACAGACTGACAGGACTTTGAAGGGCAGAAATGGCTGTGATCAGCAATGGCCATGAGGGTCACTTGGCTAAATGCTCACTCCTAGCTATACCCGAAATCCCCATTTCGGCCCACCTACGGCCGACCGTCCTCACTGCTGCTTGCAGGCTGACAGCCGACGGATCTTGCCGCTGGTGGAACAGGCCTTTCGGGCAGGGTTGGAGACGGCACTGGCCCGGCGCTCTGCCCTTGATTTGGTGCTCAGCTGCACCGAATCGGTGCCATTCATGCACATGGTCTTGGGCAGACCCCGACTCTGTCCGTTCTCACTGGTTTCCTCTTCTGGGACTTGTCCTAGAAAGGAGAGGGCAAGTACCGGCTGATAGGGGCCCAAGACCAACACTCCCACACACAGCTGCTCTGCTCCCCAGGTGTGACCCCACCTGTCCTACCCAGGTCCTGCCTGCTAGGGCCCTCACCCAGATGGAGGGAGAGCTGGCTTCAGAGTTGGCTAGCCCACCAGGGCAAGACCTAGACACTTGGTGACAGACCAGGGTCCAGGGACACAGGTGAGAGCCTCAGCCCTCTCACCTGTTCGGAGGCCACACCCTGCTGGGCTGCCCTGTGGGACTGGGGAGGGGAGGGGTTCAGGCTGGACGTGTCTCTCCCAAAATAGCCCACTGGGATGAACAGATCAGTGCCAGGGACCTACCATGGCCCCACCCTGGCTCTCAAGGCAACCTGGGGGCCATGGGCCTGGGGCTTCATGCCTACCCGCATGCCTGTGCTCACTGAGGCAGAGAAGGGCATGCAAGAAGGGGCCCATAAATTCCAGTCAGTGCACACTGAAACCTGGCCTGCTGCCCAAGGCCTGCTGTCCTGTGACATCAGTAGCAAACTGCCCTTGGCTGCTTGGGGCCCCTGTCTCCTCTCCAACACAGAGCCCCCTCTCTCTGCCAAGGGTGTCCAGAGCCTGACTCAGCTTCAGGAACTTGCCAAACCCACCCATGTATGCTCAGATCAGAGTTCATCCCTGCTCAAAGGATCCTGCTAGACAGAGCACGTAGGGGGTCTCTACACTGAAGACCGGAGCTCAGCCATCAGCCCAGCATCTGAGACCTGCCCCACTCACCCTCTCCAGGCACCATGCCAGCACCAAATGACTGGGCCCAAGGACCAACTCTCAGTGCAAATGGCAGGAGCCCCCATGGGGGAGACAGCTGAGAGTCTCCAAGGGTGACAAACCAACTAGGACCAGAGTGGGAGGGGTCTTCACCCCAACACAGCCCGTCACTGACCCATGAGCTAGTCAGAGAAGTGGCTACCTGACCTTGAAAATGGACTGTCCCACTTCTAGCACAGAGGATGTTGCCAGGCTGGTGATCTCTGCCGGGGAAAGGCCACCTTGGCCTCTCACAGTCCCAAAGGGTACCAGCTCTGGGGACTTGTCAGGACCCTCATCAGCCTTGCTAGGACAATAGGCTGCCTGCAGCTGAGGGTGACCTAGGTGCGTGTCACCTGTCATAGACCCCAGTGCCCCTGAATAGCAGGACACCTCACTCCTGTTCTGTGAAGGGGAAGGAGGCTCAAGGAGGCCTCAGATCCAGGACTGGAGTGCTGCTAAGTCTCCTAGGGCCAGAGCACCACATATATATCACCCTCCAGGGGCTCCAGGCCCCAGCCCCAAGCTGACCCTGTGGCCACAAACCCCAGAAGAATGGGACTCCTGGACCCTGCCCAGCTCTGCCAGGGACACAGCTCCGAGGGCCCAACCCACCTTGCAGGCTACCGCTGCACAATGGTTCCCTCTACAATAAAAACCTATCACTTGGCTGACGAGCCAGGGAGGGGACACAAGCATCATCCACACATACTCGTTGACCAAACCTTTATGATGGGGCCTGTGGAACCAGTCCCCAAACAGAACTATGAATGCTGTTGAGGACACACATCTGGCAGCAGGGACAGCTGCCCAGCCTCCCGCAGACACCTGGACAGGGTCAGTGAGGGCCCATGAGGGATGCACAGCCTGGCCCCTACAGCCCAGGTGGGCAGGGTGGCTATGCTAAGGCATGGAACTCCTTCTCAAGCTCCTGTGTGCCCCCGGCCTCAGCTTCCTCTGCAGAAAGGTCTGAGCACTGGCTCTGATGGGTGTCTCGCTCCTCTCTAAGCCCTGCCTCAGACGCCTCCTCGCCACCTGGGGAAGCAAGGCCACTTGTCAGGGTTGGTGTCAGGGCCAGGAGGGTCCCTGGACCCTTCTGGCTGTCACAGGAGCCTCCCCCTTCGCTTGCCACTCAGCAGTACTTGGTATGCAGTCTGCACAACTAATGCAGGGGGAGCCCAGGCAGCCTCTGCCCTCTGGGTGCCCACCTGCTTCCATGGTTCTGTGAGCCCCAGCAGGCCCCTGCATGGATGGACCTACCCTGAGGGCTCAGGGACATTGGGGACATACAGGTTGGGCTGCGAACCACTGCAATTGCCAGACTCACCAGGCACCGTGAAGTCCTGAGTGTAGATGATGTCATCCTCAATGTCAAAAAGGTCCTCGTCCCCCTCATCATTGGCGCAGCCGTGAAGGTCCTCCAGATAGGGCACCACAGTCATGCCACGCCACCGGTCCTTGCAGTCCGAGCTTGGCGGGATGGGTACCAGATCCTCGGCCAGCGGGTGCTTCTTCCGGAACCAGCTATGGAAGCCAGCACATCAGGACAGCCTGGAGTACCCAGCTCCCCATGAGAACCCCACCCAGCCAGGCACCTGAGGACACTCACCTATGCTGCCTGATCTGCTGTATGGAAAACCTCTTGGCTGGCTCATATTCCAGCATTCCTGAGGAGGGGACCACGGAGGAGTCAGCACGGGCCCCTGCCCAGCTCTGCCCCGCCCGCCTGGTGCTCTCTAGCAGTGCTGGGCCTGTAACTGTGTGGACATGGCACTCGCAGATCCAGGGCCCTGTCCTGTGGGGACACGAGGGGCCATCCAGGCACCAGGGCCCTACGCAGCCACCTGTGGAAAACTGCAAAGCCATAGGCAGTGTGGCTGGGAAGACAAGGAGGGGAGAATGCTTTCCAAAACAAGACCAGGGCAGGCTGGGTAGGATGCAGCCCCAGCCCACAAGTATTGGACCTGCTGTCCACATGCTTGAGAATAAGGAAGCATGGGGCTGCCCTTTGTCACCACCCAGCCATCAAAGGCCAGTGAAACTAGTGACCCATGATTCCAGCCAGGAGTCCATGGCCCCTGAGATGGCAGCAAGGGCAGCACATTGTGGGTGTTCATGTGCCTGGAGGCAGGTCCCATATCAGGACAATCACTTGGAAAGAGCAACACTGGCCCCACGGCCCAACCAGCCAGGAAGGCAACACCATACTCAAGCCACAGGGGACCCCAGAGCCTTTGGTTTCTGTTGCCCCCATGCCTTGCTCCCTATGTCTCCTGCTCCCTTCCCAGTGGGAGGACAGAGTCGTGCCTCCTGAGCATGATACAGAGGTGACAGGGCACAGCGCTATGTTTTGAACACCATCCGAGGGAGGGCAATTTTGTACTTGGGAAACAGCAGCAATTTTGGAAACTGAGGCTCAGAATTGAAGGTCTGAGTGGTGGTACAGGGAGAGGCGGAGGGGAGGGAATCACAGTGGTGACCAGCTGGGAGCCCACTGCCAGCTTCTGTTTCCCCTGTCCCTGTCCCCAGCTCTCCACATTCTGGCAGTTGCCAGCAATGTTCCCTCCCAGTGTGCCTGGGGGTTCTGAGACACCTGGACTCAGGACCAGGATGGATCTAGAACTCACAGGGACACCGCCCACCTGCCCCAGCTGATGGGCAGAACGTCCAGGCCAACCAGTCAGCTGTGCAAACACCCTCACTGCAGCACAGGGAGAAGCACAGCCCACGTGCCCCAGCCGGCGGAGAAAGTAAGAGATGGAGCTACCCTGCCTGCATCTGGGGACAGGGATGTCCTCTGCTGTCATCACCCCACATGGGGCCATTTCAGACATCAACAAGGGTACAGGCACAAGGAAATGAGTACATGCAGAGAAAACACCAACTAACTCACACCTGTTCAGAGAAAGTAAGTCCACAACACCCGACTCTAAGCAGAGCAGAAACCACCAGGCATGAAAAAACCTGTGAGGAGAGGTCTAGGGCCAACCTCTGGATACACCTGAGGATGGAGTGCTGACTCCACAACCATCCTGAAAAAGGCTGCTGGAGCCCTGGCACTCAGGAGTGTTCACAGAGGACTGGGGACAGGGAGAAGGCCAGGCCAAGCTCGACCTGGGAGCACTTTTGAGCCAATCATGAAAACAGGCGGGCTGCTTCCTGACTGCTGGCTTCTTCCCATGTTCCAAGAATAATTGGGTTGCATCCCCAGAGCTGGCCAGTTCCTTGAAGTCTTGGGGTGGTGGGCCAGACCTGTGCTCAGCACTCATCGAGCCCAACTCCACTTTCACAACACTGAATGAACTTACATGTAAGAACCAGCTTAATTCAATTCCTAGGAAACTATAAAGTGTATGTGTGGCAGCCTGGGAACATGGCTCAACCTTTGCAGCTATGCCTTATACAAAGTCTAGATACTGACCGAACATCCAGAGTACAGGGTGTAAGGACAGTCACACACCAGAGCATAACTAAGGGCAGAAAGAACCTGAAACAGTACTGCACTGATGAATCTTACACATTGGTCATGTGCTGAGTGTGCAACATCCTCAAACTGTCTCCTCCAAACTCACTACAGCCAAACCTCAGGCAGCTAACTGAGGTTCCCACCCACCTGTCCACATCTTGCCAGCCATGGTGTGGACTGACACCACCACCTGCTGCACTGGCTGGGGAATGCAGGAGAACAGTGTGAACCAGCAGGCAGTCCAAACCGGTACTATTTCCCTGCAGGGGATGGGGGTAGGGGTCAGCGTAAGGTTCAGCCTCCAGGGGGTCAGCCCTTCCTGGACCCAGCTGCTCTCCACACCCCACAGATAACTGTGCCCCTCCCCACCCTCAACAGACCCACATCCTGTCCCTCCCCAGAGCCCATGGTCAGTCTTCATCCTGAGGGCCTCACCTTTCAGCAGGTCCGAGAGTGGGGGGCCGCAGTCGCCTGGGATGGTGTAGTCCCCCTTCCCGATGTTCTCAAACAACTTGTAGATGTTGTCCCCCTCGAAGGGGTATAGGCCTGTTGTGATGTTGTAGCTTCGCCCCCGAGCGGAAGGACAGAGGCCCAGTCAGTTGGGGCTTGTCCTGCAGCCCTGGCCCGAAACCCACCTGGCACAGGAGCCTCAAACAACCCCCACCTGTAGGGCCTCATACTGGGGGGTAGGAATGATCTGGAATAAAGGGTGGTGGCTGCACCACTGAAAATACGGAAACTGCTGGACTGTACACTTTAAAGGGTGGGTCATGTGCTATGTGAATTCTCTCTCAATGAAATACAAATGCTCAGCTGGCAGCTGTCCTGTGGCAGGGGTGGATGGAAGGTTCTCAATGGGGGGCTATGCCCAAGCATCTGCAGCATGAGTGCCATTTCAGGAGTGAATAGGGTTCCAGAGAACTCTGATAGGCCAATCAGCACTATTATGTGGCAGTGCTCAGGGACATGCCTTGATGGGCCAGCAGAACAATGCAGCAGAATGGGGGTGGGGGGACACACAGCAGTTGGTCAAGCAACACTTTCAACACTTTCAACTTGCCATGTCTGCGAATTCTCAGTATAAAGCGGCCAGGACAAAAGGTGCCACAAGATGAGTGTGGCTGGTATCAACCGGTGGAAATAAAGACAAATGGGGGCCCTCAACAAATGAGGGAGACACAGCCCTCACTCCCACCCGCATGGGCTGCTAGCCCCAGCTCCAGCCACCCCAGAAGGGGCAGGTTCTGGAAGCCTGGAGCCCAAGCAGAGTGGGCAAAAAGGGGACCATACTCCACAAGCACTTACAGCGTAACCCCAGCTGACCAGATGTCCACCTTGAAGCCAGAGAAGGTGTCCAGGCCATTGGCAATCTCAGGTGGCTGGAATGCTGGGGAGCCTTGGCTCGTCCTGCACGTGTCGTCCTCAGCAAATGGGTGTAGGGCCTGTGACAGAGCCAGGCGGCCTCAGGAAGCGGTCTCAGGGAGCGCCCGGCCCCCACCCTGGTTCTTGGGTCCTACCTCGGCCACACCCAGGTCGGAGATCTTGAGCGTGCCACTGGTGGTGAGCAACAGATTGCCCGGCTTGATGTCCTTATGCACAATGCCCTGGCTGTGCAGGTACTCCAGGCCATCCACCAACTGGCAGAAGTACCTGCAGGACACAATGGCTACCTAGGGTCAACCAGCAAAACCAAAGCTAGGAGGCCACAGCTCAGGAGTCACTAGGGCCAATAAAAAGAAATGACAAGACAGGAGGCCCCGCAGAGAACCATGGCCCACAGGTGAGGCTGAGCCATTCACCAGGGCTTCAGCCACTCCTACCCAAGCCACCCGGGGAGAGCACAGAGGGCTCCTTGGCTCCCCACCTGCCTCTCCCAATCAGGCAACCCTAACTTACTCTCCCAATCAGCTCAACGGATGTGTAATACCCTCTCCCCCGAAATTGCTCTGGCATAGACACAGCCATGTAACCCCCCCGGGGGGCCCTCCCTAGGGCTAGAGACCCAGGCTCACCCCACTGGCCTTCCACTCACACCACAGGCCAGATGGTCCTGCAGCAAGGAAGAGGGATGATATTTCAGGTGGGCCAGCCAGCCAGCAGCAGTACAGATCACTTTCAGGGGCTCCCTAAGGACCAGGTCTCAAAGCCTCAGGAGTAGGCACACTGGGGCAGGGAATGTACAGAGAGGGGGGCTGCCGGCCAGGGGTACTCCAAACTAGGCTCCTCAAATGCTGAGTTTTAAAGCATACTTGTGCCTTCATTTCACTGGTGATCAGAAAACGTTGGAACACAGAACCGAATCCTTGAAAGCCCTTGGGCCTATGGGCAGCATGATAGGACAGAGGGGCAGCCATAAGGCCTGGCAGCACACACTCACCCATGAGCCTGGCACACAGGGAACCGCTTCTCAGGCACACTGTCCAGCATCTCCTGCATTCCACACACACAGTACTCCATGACCATATACGTGTGGTGCTAAGGAAACCACAGCCCAGCCCAGATCCGACCCCTGGCAGGGCCTGTCCCCAGGGACAGCTGGGCAGAAGGTCCTGGAAAGTGGTGGTGAGAAACCAGGGACAGCTGGGACAGGAGAGATCAGAAGTGGCCTTGAGTTTCAGGCCAGTGGGAGTGGGGTGTAGGGGAGAGGCTGTAGGGCCAGACAGCCCAGGGTCAAGCCTAAACTCCCCCACCCCTTGCTGTGTCTCCACCAAGGATAGTCTTGAGACACAGACAGAGAGGAGCCACATGCTGGGCCCCTGTCACTGCTCCAGTGAGTCAGTGACGGGCACCTGTGGAAGGACACTGACCCCTCAGAGGGACCTGGAGTTAACCAGAGCCACTCATTCTGGAGAGAGAAAGCCTGTTCCCCTCAATAAAGGTCAAAGACCAAGGACAGTCTTGCATTCCAGAGTTATACACTCTGGTCTTAGCAGGCAAGGCCCAAATGCCAGAGGTAGGAGATGTGCCGCTATGGGGCCCCTAAACATGAGGTCATCCAGCCGGAAAGTGTCTTCTCTCCAGACCCAGTACTCCCATTTGATGCGTGGAGGGACAGGGGGATCCCACTTAGTTACAGAATAAGTGGGAAGACAGATGCACGTGTGTCATGGCCCACATCCTCCACCCCGATCCCAAAGGATATATCTTCTGTTTCTCCTCATTGTAAAGTACGTCCACTAGCTGGATGACGTTTTTGTGCCGCAACCTCCGCAGTAGCTGAATTTCCCTGGAAAGAGGACAAAGCATCAGCCAAGCCCTCTGCATGCTGGACGCAGAGCTTGCCCTTGGGTGCCATGCAGAGGACACACCAGCTGAGGCGCCAGGAGAACCAGGAGACTCTGCTGCTGTCCCTTCTGCTGAGCCAGTACGCATAGGGACAGCTAGTGGGGCCTGAATGGGGACAATTAAATCAGGACACTTATTACACATTTCAGCTGAAGATAAAGTTTGTTTTACAAGAAACCATACACAGGGACAGCAGAGCAAGGGTGGCATGAGCACCTACTGTATGTATGCAAGGCTGGGCTTACAGTGCGTCCCCAGTGCTGTCATACAGCAAGGTCAGGCCATGCCTGTCCCCTGGTGTCTTGTAAGGATTCCCTTCCTCTCCTAGCACTCCACAGCCCTGCAAGAAGAACAATGCCACCAGCCCCTCTAGAATGGACACCAAGGTACTACTGCCAACCTGGCACCAACCACACCTGTCGGCTTGTGACAAGGGCTGGGCACAGACTCTGGGTGCAGTACTGCCTGCTCTGCAGATGGCCTTCCATGTGTCTCTTCTCCAAGCAGTCTGAGCAGGAGAGGCCTGAACAGCTGGGGCACTGGAGAAGCAGGAAGTGGTAGGCAGCTCCTCAGATGGTTGAAGTTAGCAGTTGACCCAGCAATTCTGCTCCAGGTACATACCCAGAACTGCAGACAAGCACACAGAAACCTGCACGTGCACATTCATGGCAACACCATGCAGAGGTCCCAAAGCAAAAACCACTCACGTGTCCATTCATGGAGGACATAGGCTCTCAGGCACAGGAGCAGTAGGAATGGGGAGCCTACAGTGGAGCTCCCTGCACCTGACTGCCCAAGCCCAGAAACAGCCTTCTAAATATGGCACAGACAGCCCATAAAAGTGTGTGGCTGCATCAGGAATGGGAACCCCTGCTGCTGGTTGGGGGAGCTCTGGGGACCATATCCCAGATCCTCACTGAGAAGATGACAGGCCCCACGGTTCTGCACCCCCAAGTCTGGAGATCACCTGGGACCCATCTCCTGGGCTGTGCCCCACTCTGCTCACCATTAGGGCAAATTCTGATACAGAGTGACCGATGGCATCCAGTCCTCTGCAGTGAGACAGCTCTGTGCTCTTATTGATGTTAATAAAACGTGTTCTTAAAAAAAAGAAAAGGCCCGGCCGGTATGGCTCAGTGGTTGAGCATTGACTCATGCACCAAGAGGTCGCTGGTTTGATTCCCGGTCAGGGCACATGCCCAGGTTGTGGGCCCAATCCCCAGTCGGGGGCAAGCAGGAGGTGGCCAATTGATGTTCTCTCTCTTTGATGTTTCTATCTTCTCTCCCTTCCTCTCTAAAATCAATAAAGAAAAAATTTTTTTAAAAAGGAAGCCCACACGCTTAACTTAACAAGGCTGATCTCAGTTGTGTAGGGTATTTGTACATTTGTTTGTCCAGTAATCAGATCAAAGCACTCCATGTAAACAAGTCCCATTACTCATACCAAAAAAGAACAGACACACCGTCAACTTTACAGCTATGGGGCAATGGGAACCTCGTGCCCCCAGCAGTAGGAGCGCTTGTGATGGTGCCCAGGCGAGGTAACTGGAGACATACCATCAGCATGACCTGAGCTACCTATGCGAGAACACAGGAGGCAACAACCAAAACTGTCACTGCAGTGGCCTAGAGGGCACAGAGGAGCTTCTATCACTGTCTCTATATTGTCAACTTCTCCTACAAGCTGTGCCTCTGGCCAGAAAATGAGAACAATATTTAAAGCCCTAGCCGGTTTGGCTCAGCGGTTAGAGCATCGGCCTGAGGTCGAGAGAGACCCAGGTTCGGTTCCCGCTAAGAGCACGTACCTCGGTTGCAGTTTGTCCCCAGCCCTGGTTGGGTTGTGTGGGTGGCAGCCACTTGATGTGTCCCTTTCACGTCGATGTCTCTCTCTCTCTCTCCCTCCCACTCTATCTGAACAGAAAATGAAAAAATATCCTCGGGTGAGGATAAAAAAAAAAGAACAATATTTAAAGAAAAAGGAATAGCCAAGCGGCAAGCCGGATGCAGAAAGTAAAGGAGAGGAAGCAGTGCCTTCCAGGTCAGGAAGGCTGCCTCTGTTCCTCAGGAACCTGCCTATGGGCAATGCCCAAGCAAAGTGGACTGTTCAGTGACTCTGATTAACAGAAGAGAAACGAAAAAGCCAGGATCAAAGTCATTCACACTTTAGAGGAATGGAAAGTGGCTGCCTCCACATTCAGCCTGAAACACATGGCAACAGGCAGGGGAGAAAAGGCCAAGCCACAGCCACTGCTCAGAACCAATCCACCTTGCTCCCCCCAAGATGGAGGGCAGGCCCAGAGCAGATGGTGGCTCTGGTAGAGGGACACCGAGCAAGAACCCTTCACCTCCTGGTCCTTCGGCTGACAATTCTCTAAACACATGACATAGGGCTTTCAGAGGTGGGAAAGACACTAAAACAATGAGAAATTTGCTAAAAGTGCAGTTCAACACAAACACTTGTATATAACCATTCAAAACAGGATTCATAATAGGCACCAAGTGGAAACAACCTAAATGCCCATCAATAGGTGATGAATAAATAGAATGTGGCCCATCCATACAGTGGAGTATTACTCATGAAAAGGAGTGAAGTGCTAACCCTCTCCACAACATGGATAGACTTTGCTCAGTAAGAGAAGCCAGACACAAAAAGTCACACAGTGTATGATTCCATTTATGTGAAATGTCCAGAATAGGCAAATCCAGAGATAGAAAGTGGGTTAGTGGTTGCCAGGGGCTGAGGGGGTGGAGAGTGGGGGTAACTGCTAATGGAGAAAGGTTTCTTTTGGGATGATGGAATGTTCTGGAACAGGTAGTGGTGAGAGTTTCACAATCTGTGAAAGTACTAAATGCCACTAAATTACACATTAGTCAGGTGAATTTTATGCTACATAAATTATATCTCAATAAAGCTGTTAAAAAAAATAAACGACAGTTCAGCCACAGGTGGATGTGAGATAAAGAGAAATGTCAGCTGTGATTCCTAACACACTCATGAGCAAAGAGCCAGAATTCAAAATGCACGCTGGCCTAGTGCCCCACGCTCCCACTGCATGAGAGTCACCCCCTATATCAGGGAAGGACCAGGCAAACAGAGAAGCCCCAGGACATTCAGTGCAGGTAAGTTGCAGTAGATGGGCTGTGCCCACTTGCTAATGCCTCTGGCAGCTGGCCAGTCTGGACTCACAGTGGCATCCTTCCCAATAACGGGGCAGGTAGGCACCCCAGCAGCTGCTGGGACCTTGTAGAGGCCACTTGGGATAGGAATAAAAGCCAACAAAGTCCGGGGCGCTGGTTCTCAATACACTAAAATCACAACCATTCACCATCCAGATCTAAGTACCTGCCAAACACCGCAAGGCAGTCCTAGCCTTGTCAGGCCCAACACAGACACTGGAACTGCTCCCAGAGCTGCCATCCTTCCACTGAGGATCTGGCCAAACAGGGGGTAGACCAACCAGGGAAAAGAAACAGCCCAAGTGGCCAAGCATGTCATACTATGTCACCTCCCTAACATAAACAGCAGACACACATCACAAACCATATTCAACAGAGTACAGGTTGTAATGTGCTTTGTTGGACCAGTGGTCTGGACACAGCTTATCAAACTCATATATGCTTCCTCTGACCCAGAAACTCCACTTCTGGTTGGTGATGTGCCCTTCATACACTTGAGCTTGTCACACAACATAGCACAAAGTAACTCACCAACACAGCAAAAATGTCCACAGCACAGGGAGGGCCAGACTCAGCCAGCGTGGACAGAGACCCACCATGGGACAGAAAGGCAGGTCGACTTGGGCTGCAGGGCAGATCACCCTATGACTTTGTAAGTTCCTGAGCAGGAGTGAAACTGTTTCATGTTTCTAAACAGTTTATGAAAAAAAAAAGAACAACACAAAGACCACTCTTTGGTGACACGTGAGCATTCTATGAATTCAAGTTGCCATCTGTGCAGTTGTACTGGGGGTCTCCCTCAGTCTTGAGCACAGCCTGGCTGGATGCACTCACCACCTGTGCACTAGAGTGTATCTACCTGGTAGCGATCTGTCTACACCTATAAGAAACCCCATTGCCCCCCAGAAGAGGGAGCAAAAGTGAACCCGTCACACACCTTTTACAGGCTCAATCCATGCAGTTTTACTGCCTCTTGAAAAAACAAGTTCATTTTATTTTATTTTTTTATGTGCCCCTAGCGGGAACTGAACTTGGGACTCTCTGGTGCGCAGGCTGACACTCCAACCACTGAACCAAACTGGCCAGGGCCATTTTATTTTTTAAAAGTGATTCTTGCCCTGACCAATTTGACTCAGCAATTAGAGGACTGGTCTTCAGACCAAAGAGTCTCAGGTTTGATTCCAGTCAAGGGCACATACCTGGGTTGTAGGTTTGATCCTCGGACCCTGTGGGAGGCAACCAATTGATGTGTCTCTCTCACATTGATGTTTCTCTCTCTCCCTCCCACCCTCTCTAAAAATCAATGGGAAAATATTCAGGTGAGGATTAACAAACAAACAAACAAACAAACAAAAAGATTCTTAGGGGAGTCTTATTTTTATTTATTTATTTATTTATTTTTATCCTGACCTGAGGACATTTTTCCACTTTTTTGTTCAGATAGAGCAGGAGTGAGAGTGAAGAAGAGAGAGAAACATCGATGTGAAAGGGGCACATCGAGTGGCTGCTACTTGCACAACCCAACCAGAGCTGGGGACAAACTGCAACCGAGGTACACGCCCTTAGCGAGAACTGAACCCAGGTCTCTCTGGACTGCAGGCCAACACTCTAAACGCTGAGCCAAACTGGCCAGGGCAGGGGAGTCTTATTTTTATTAAAAACTGCTTAGATATGGTAAGAAAACAAATTTAAAAAAAGGAAGTGAAGCAAGATGCATCATTATTAAGATTATAAGAATTTTTAATATTTACTTGATTGCTCTTTACTTGAAACTTTCCTTTTCGCAAGAAAAAGCAAAGGGACAAGTACAGACCCACAGCAGCCTTCCTAAAGGGAGCTCATGAAGGGAAGGGCATGTTGACCTGTCCCACTACCTGGGGCAACACATTGTTCTTTCAGAAAAAAGCTTTGATCCAACTGAGGCTTGTCTGAAAGGTTCTGAACACTCCATTCTAAGAGAGCAGCAGCCACAGTGGAGTTTATTAAATCTCTCACAGACAAAGGAGGCTTTTTTTCCCTTGCAGTGGGCTGGCTGGCAGCAAGGGCAGCCTGGGAGCCCAGCTCTCCAGGCCAGGGAGCTGACACCCATCTCCTGGGCACCAGAGACCTGCATGGAGTAGGCCCACCCAGTCTCTTCCTACGGACCTGGGACAACAGAGCAGTGGCTCAAGAAAGGAGATGCATCAGGTTCTAATCCCAGCTGCAAACTCAGGTGGATGAGACAGCTCTGAGCCAGTCCAGTGCTCCAAGAACCTCAAAAAAAGGGGGGGGGGACTGCCCTGGCTGGTGTGCCTCAGCGGTTAGAGCAATGGCCCACAGACCAATGGGTCACGGGGTTCGATTTGTCCCCAGCCATGGTTGGGGTCGTGCAGGAGGCAGCCACTCAATGTGTCCCTTTCACGTCGATGTGTTGTGTGTGTCTCCCCCCGCCCCCCACTGTATCTGAACAAAAGAGAAAAAATGTCCTTGGGTGAGGATAAAAAAAAGGGGGGGGTTCTGGTCAGTGTGGCTCAGTGACTGAGGGTCAACCCATGCACCAAGAGGTCACCAGTTCAATTTCCAGTCAGGACACAAACCCAGGTTGTGGGCCTGATCCCCAGTGGGGGGCATGCAGAAGGCAGCCAATCGATGTTCTCTCTCATTTATATTTCTCTCTCTTCCCTCTCTATAAAATCAATAAAAAAAAAAAGAAAAATTTCAATTAAAAAAAAAAGGGGGGCCCTGGCCGGTTTGGCTCAACGGTTAAAGTGTCATCCTGCAGTCCAGAGAGGCCTGGGTTCAGTTCCCACTAAGGGCATGTACCTCGGTGGCAGTTTGGCCCTGGCCCTGGTTGGGTCGTGTGGGAGGCGGCCACTCGATGCGTCCCTTTCACATCAATGTTTCTCTCTCTCTCTTGCTCTCTCTCCCTCCCACTCCATCTGAACAAAAAATGGAAAATGTCCTCGGGTGAGGATAAAAAAAAGCGGGGGAAACCCCTGCACACAGGTCCAGGCCTGAGCTGATGAAACTGAGCTCTAGCTCAGCGCCTGCTGCTGACACCTTATGCTAATTGTCAGGTTGGCTGAGGACCACCAAATACTGGCCACTCTGGCTCGCTTCCCCTCCAATTCTTCCCAGACACTGTGGGATCTGGCTCCATGCAGCCTCAACATCACACGCTCACAAGTCTCCATAAGCTCTTGAGACCTCAGGTGACCCTTCAGAAAACCAGGAGTGGGATGTCAGCACCCTATGGCCCTCCAGCTGGGTTCTGGTCATTTGTGTCTCCAGTAAAGCATGAGCTCTCAAATGGTGAAATGCCCTCTATCTTGACCTTGATTACTTGTGTCTCCTGAATGGGTGCCTTTATCACAAGTATAGTACACCTTAGCAAAGGGGGGCCCTTGCCCACCCCAACATGCCTTCCATCGTGGTGAGGGAGTGTAGACCTTCTGGGACCTATTGACCCTGCTGCCACCAGTTGGTGCCCTGATCTACACCAAGGACCCCTATGGCTAGCAGGGTGGGCTTGAGAAGATGACTAGCCAGACCAAATGGTGCTAGAACCGTCACTGGGACAAGACTCTGGAGTCTGGAGTGCACAGCAGCAGAACATCAATCAGCCGGCACCAGAACACTTCGATATATGTACCAGTGCCAACTCATGGGCTTAGCCAGGCTAGAAGAGACCAGAGCCCATTCCAGGACAGATGAGGGACGATGCCTAAGAGGAGCCAGGAAGGACAAGGAAAACTCTGGAGTGCAGGAGGGAGACTCATTTCTAGAGCAGCATTCCGGAACTCACTGCCCTCAACCTGCAGTAGTAGCAATCTGGCTGCCCGAGGGCCACATTGTCCCCACAAGCTTCTAATGAGAAAACTTGACTTAGGGCCAGCAGTCAAGTGGGAGTTTCTAACTTGAGGATGAGGCATCACTGGCCCTCAGGAGGGTATCTGCCTTTCAGGGCCTCTCCCCAAGGACACTGTGAGTCCTGCTCACCCCCCACCTCACAGAGAAGAGACTGGTACACAGATCTGACCAGTTGGGCCTAGGGTTCCCAACCACACCTTCTCCCAGTGTTCACAGGATGGGCTGTAAAAAGGCCTCACCAAAACACAGCCCATTTTGCCCACGGTCCCACCCACACTGTGGGTTGCTCAGAATATCAGCCACTGACAAGGAGACCTGTCAGTTCAGCCCCAGCTCTCTGCTCCATCCCCCCCTTTTCCTCCCCCAGGTGTCCCAGAGCAAATGAAAACACCTCAGGTCTCTTGCTGGTGTGAAGAAGGGAGGTAAAAGCCCACCTAGTGAGCAGTAGTTCCAGACTGGCCTGGACAGCCTGAGTGCAGACCGTCCAAGGTCACAGTTAAGTCCTACCGCCTGGCACGATAGATAAACCTCTTCTGGGAATTTGGAGGCTGGGAGGAGCATGAGTGTGGGTAGGGCAGGGTTCCACCCCGGGCAGCCATAAGGAGGGATGCCCCCATCCTGAGATGAGAAAGAGGAAGGAGACAGAGCCCCCACCGCTCCTGAGGGACTCCTGATCACAGACTGGGACACCTCCAGGATGCCTAGGGGGCAGATGACGCAGAAGAAATTTATGTAAAAAGTTCACCAGGACACAAGCAATGCCCCTTTGGGAGTCACCAGGCCGCAGTCAGGGCTATCTAGTGACATCCAGGCCAGCAGGAACAGGATAAGTGCCCTCTGCTGACTGATAAGCTGGTGCAAACAATTATTTTTGGCAACTACAGGCTTCCCCTCCAACAGGATCAACAAATCCTATTTCGCCTGGTGCTAGTAAGGTACTGGCTGCTCAATAAGCAGAAAAACTGCTGGCCTCCAAGGCCATTTCTTGGCAGAAACTCTCAGGGCCAAACACTGACTGGCTCCACCAGGCACCTAACTTCTTTGGCTAGCTGGGATAGCGAGGGAAAGAGGGGAACACTCATACCGAGGACGACTTTGACACTGATGCCCAAGAGCCAACAAAACAAGGGCCCAGCTGCAACAACCTAGCCTGACTTCCTGAAAGTACTTAAACATGTTCCCAACGACACTTTCCCTGCCAAGGGGTACAGGAGACGGATGGTCAGCTCAGGTTTTTAAGGAAGGAAGGAACAGAGAAGGGAGGGGAGGAAGGAAGGGAGGGAGAGGGGAAGAGGAAGGACGACGCTGACGCGCCTGGGGACCCCCAAAGCTGTTCAGGCTAGAAGGCCCACACTTACTTCTTCACGTTGGCTTCCCCATTGGGAATCCTCCGCAATTTCTTCTTCTTGAGAATTTTAACGGCTCTCCTGCACAATGTCTCGGAGTCCAACACCTCCTTCACTTTGCCGTAGGACCCCTCCCCCAGCAAGTCCCCCATCAAGTACTTGCCAATGAGCTTGGCCCGCTTGCGGCGGGGCTGGTAGATGACCTCGGTGGAGTCGATGCGGTGGATGAATGTGTCCATCCCCACCGACATCAGCTCGCCCTCTGTAAACATGCCGAGCTGCTGCGGGTCTGCCACATCCATCCTGGACTCAAGGGCTCCGCGCCGCTGGCGGTCCCTTATCCCCTTTATGGATGCCCTGGTGAGCGGTTCTTCTTTGTGCCCCCCCCCCCCAATTCCCTTCTCCAAAAAAGAAAAAGTCAACGAAAACACAAAAAAGAGAGAAACCCTTCTTCGAAAATAAACGATTGTACCAAACGCGTGTCTGGTCCGGAGCCCGGGCACCCGACGGTGCGCAGCGCCGCAAGTTTGGGTGCGACCCGGCCTGGCAGCTCCGAGTCCGGCCGGTAGGTCCACGGGGGCCCTGGGGAGGCAGTGGGGTTTCGAAGTGCTAGGTCATCCTCCAGGGACTTTAGACCCTCGGGCAAACACGGACACAGCAGAGCCAAGTCTTCTCCGGGCCGTCCATTACTAGGGGGTCGTGGCGTGCACCCGGAGCCCTTAAGCTGGGCAGATGAGCTTTGCTGTTTCCGGCAGTCTTGCCGTCCAAGGCGTCCCAAGAAGCAGCAGGTGCCTATCCGACTTGATCCGCTGCCGCCAGCCCCGGGCGCGTATTGGGAGTCGGGTGGACGCCTGGAGCCCTCCCGCCACAAGAAGCAACTTCCGTGGGAACCAGCCGCTCGGGCGCCCCCAAACCGGCCTGGGACCCACAAGCGATCTCGCGGGCGCCCCCCACTCCAAACGACAGCCCGCGCTCGCTCTCGGACCCGAACGCCGTCCGCCGCGGCCCTCGAAGCGCGGGGGGCCCGTAGGACTCCGGGAGGCTGAGGCGGCGCAGGCCACAGGCCCCGGGCCGGGGGTTCCCGAGGCAGCCGGGGCCCGGGCGGCGCGTCCTCCGCAGTGGCCGCCGCGAGTGTGGAGCAAGAAGGCCGGCGCGGGAATCCAGCCCATGCAAGGCGGCCGCGGTGGGCCCCGGCCGCCCCGCCGCCTGTACCCCCGCCTCACTCACAGGCGCTTCGGGCCGCCTCCCCCTTCCGCACCCTACACGCCACCGCCATCTTGTTTACCTCCCGCCCCCGCCCTACGCCACCGCGCGGCTGCGGACCCGCCCCTCCCGGGGTCGACGTGCCCGCCCGTTGGCCGTCCCAGCATGCCCCGCCCTGCCACAGCCGTCTATTGGGCCGTTTAGACGCGGGCGGGCGCCCGAGCAGGGATTGGTTCATACTCGGCCCCGCCCCAGAGGTGTATACTGCGTGCTCATTGGTCCGCGGAGGCCCACCTCATAGGGAGTGTCGGGAAGCGGCAGTGGGGAAATGAGGCTGTGGCAATGACCTCTGAGGGTTTTGGCGCTGTGATCCGAGGATAACCGGCTCCTCGGAACATGCGCGGGACCGGTGCAGTCTTCGTGGGCGAGGACGCGGTTCGGCGACCCAGCAGGGCGCCTTCCAGGGATCCCCTCCCCCGGGACTCTTCTCGAGACGAGGTCAAGGGTCAAAAAGTAGCCCACCTCTTTTCTTCTCCGACTACGGTAGCGAGAGAGCCGGCGCCATGTCTGCCCACCTGCAATGGATGGTGTACGGAACTGCTCCAGCTTCCTGATCAAAAGGAACAAGCAGACGTACAGCACCGAACCCAATAATGTGAAGGCCCGCAACTCCTTTGCTACAACGGGCTGATTCACCGCAAGACGGTGGGCGTGGAGCCGGCGGCTGACGGCAAAGGTGTGGTGGTCGCCAAGAAGCGGACATCCGGCCACCTCCTTGTGAACGACCATCCACAAGAACGCCCGGGCAACATCCGGCACATGATCCGCAAGAACAAGTACCTCCCGGAACTGCGCGTGGCCGCCATCCACAGGCCAGAGCCAGTCTGCGCAGCCAGATGCCAGTGATGGTGAAGAGGAAGCGGGCCCGCCCCGTCAAGAGTTCTTGAGCAGCCCCCTTCCCCCAAAACAATAAAGGTATCCGCCAACTTTCCTAAGTAAATTTTTGAAGTCGCCCAAAGTAGCCAGTTCAAGGCAGACTTTGATTAAGCGTCACAGGAGCTGGAGGGTGAGAGGGGAGCAGGTCGATCTCCGTCCTAAAGGAATTCAGGAGTGGAAACGCAGAACAGAGCTGTGACGGCCGCAGCAAAGTACTTTGGGTGAAAAGGTTGACAAAATACGACTTGATGAATTTGAAAATAACGTCCTTGTACCAGGCCCCTAATCTGTACCTTTATGCTTTTTAGCACTAGATTATTTTGCCGGAACAAACTGTCTTGTGTGAAGCTCCTGATTCACAATAGTCAAAAAGTTAACGTTGGAAGCTGACACATCAGATTTGGGGTCCAAGCTGGGGGTTAAATCCATGACCCATGAATTTACTTAAAACTGCAGAATTGGCCGCGGGTGTGGCTCAGTGGAATAAGCGTGGTCCCAAGGACTGAGAGGTCCTGGTTCCATTCCTGGTCAGGGCACATGCCCAGGTTGCAGGCTCCATCCTCCGTGGGGTGAGTGGGGGGCGTACAGGAGGCAGCCGATATATGTTTCTCTCTCACACGAACGTTTCTAACTGTCTCCCTTATTCTCTCCCTAAAAAATAAAAAAAAATTAAAACTCTTTAAAGAAAAACTTTAGAATTGAGTGTGCCATACACATGTCATTAGGGGTAATTCTTGAGTTTCATCAGGTTCTTTTTAAAATGAACTTATTTTAAAACTAAATTTACAGCTCAGCCAGTGTGGCACAGTGGTTGAACATCGACCCATGCACCAAAAGGTCACGGGTTTGATTCCTGGTCAGGGCTCATGCCCAGGTTGTGGGCCCCATCCCCAGCGTGGGGCATGCAGGAGGCAGCCAATTGATGTTTTCTCTCATCAATGTTTCTCTCCCTCTCCCTTCCTCTCTCTCTCAAAATCAATAAAGGGAAAAACAATCAGATAGCCTGATGATTCAAGAATAGTGAATATTAAAAAAAAAATTAAGCCCTGGCCAGTTTGGCTCAGCGGTTAGAGTGTCGGCCCGCAGTCCAGAGAGACCCGGGTTCGGTTCCTGCTAGGGGCATGTACCTCGGCTGCAGTTTGTCCCCGACTCTGGTTGGGGTCGTGGGGGAGGCGGCCACTCAATATGTCCCTTTCACGTCAGTGTTTCTCTCTCTCTACCTCCCGCTCTATCTGAACAAAGATGGAAAGATGTCCTCGGGTGAAGATTAAAAAAAAACAAAATTAAATGTACATAAGATTTGTCAAAGACCCATAATAAAGGAAATCAGTATGGCTTTGGGGAGATGAGTGGGCACAAGGGCCACCAGCATACCAGCAAGCCCCAATCAACCCATGCAGATCGACCCCAGACTCCTTTTGAGAAGAAAATCATAAAGATCAGAACAGAAATCAAGGAAATAGAACAGAAAAAGAATAGGAAAATTGATGAAGCCAAAAATTGCTCTTGGAAAAAGATAAAAAAAAGTTTACAAAACTCTACCTAGACTGGATAAAAAAAAAACAATGACAATATCAGGGATGAAAGAAAGCATATCAGTCACCACAGATCCTACAGATACTAAATGATTAGACCTGGCTGGTTTGGCTCAGCAGTTAGAGCGTTGGCCTGTGGACCAGAGAGTCCCGGGTTCGGTTCCCATTAAGGGCACATACCTTGGTTGCAGTTTGTACCCACCCCAGTTGGGTTTCTGTGGGTGGCAACTGCTCCATGTGTCTCTTGCATCGATGTTTCCCCACCCCCCCTGCTCTATATGAAGATAAATGCAAAAATGTCCTTGGGTGAGGAAAAAACAAAGAAAGGAAAAAGGAATAGATCATCTGCATAGTATTATATGTCTTAAAGAAATTATATGTGTAGTGAAAAACGTTTCAACAAAGACAACTGCCAACAAATGTTCTCCCTTACCAAGTAGGGAGACGTACAACCATCAGTGGGAGTTGAGAGTGCAACCCCAGAGAATATGGTGAGGGTGACTTAGAAGTTCCCACCCTTGGTCCCTGATTGGTCTACTAGGGAATGAGGACTCCCAATCATTTAAAAAAATTTTTTTTTAAATTGTTTATTGATTTTAGAGAGAGAGAGAGAGAAACATCCATGATTCAGAACATTGATTGGCCGCCTCCCACATGCCCCCCACTAGAGATTTGGCCCACAATCTGGGCATGTGCCCTGACCTGGAATCAAACTGAAGACCTCTTGGTGCATGGGGCAATGGCTCAACCACTGAGCCACACTGGCTGGGCAGGACTCTAAATCTTTTACAGTTTGATTGGTCCAATAGCCCATCCTGATTAGTCAGAATAGAGCCACCCTTTTTTTTTTTTTTTTAATCCTCGCCTGAGGACATTTTTCCATTTTTTGTTCAGGTAGAGTGGGAGGGAGAGAGAGGAACAGAGAGAGAGAGAAACATCAACGTGAAAGGAACACATCGAGTGGCTGCCACCCGCACGACCAACCAGGGCCGGAACAAACTGCAACCGAGATACATGCCCTTAGCGGGAACCGAACCCGGGTCTCTCAGGATCGCAGGCCGACGCTCTAACCACTGAGCCAAACGGGCCAGGGCCACTTTTTTTCTTTTTTTTAATCCAAACCCAAGGATATTTTTTCCAATGATTTTTAGGGTAAGTGAAAAGGGAGTAGAGGGTTGAGAGAGAGAAAAACATCGATGTGAGACAAACACATCGATTGGTTGCCTCTGGAACATTTCCCAACCAGGCTGCGGATGAAACCTGCAATGTACCCCAGCCAGGGCATAATAGAGCCACTCTAGACTGGTCAGTGAAGGTGCAAATAAGGATATAGTGCCAACCCTCTGACCAAAGGGTCACAGGTCCCAAGGGTCACAGGTTCGATTCTGGGTCAAGGGCATGTACCTGGGTTGCAGGTTTGATCCACAGCCCCAGTGGAGTTCTTGTGGGAGGCAACCAATTGATGTCTCTCTCTCACATCCATTTTTCCCTCTCTTCTCTCTCTTTCCTCCTCTTCCACTCTACCTTAAAAAAATAAAATAAAGCCCTGGCCGGTTTGGCTTAGCGGTTGGAGCGACGGCCTGCGGTCCAGAGAGACCCGGGTTCGGTTCCCGCTAAGGGCACGTACCTAGGTTGCAGTTTGTCCCCGGCCCTGGTTGGGTCATGTGAGTGGCAACCACTCAATGTGTCCCTTTCACATCAATGTTTCTTTCTCTCTCTCTCCTTCTCACTCTATCTGAACAAAAAATTGAAAAATATCCTTGGGTGAGGATAAAAAAATAAAATAAAATAAATTAATTAATTTAATTAAGTTAAATAAAAAGTGACTTAGCCTGCAAGAGGCTGGAAGCCTAGTCTAGCATTTCCCTGATAGGCAGCTTGGGTGAGCGGCCCCTATAAACAATGACTGGTAGATTCTGATTATGAATTTGGGCCCAGTTAACCACAGAATCTTTCTTGGTAGGTATTCTTCTCTGGTTCAATTACAATTACGGCTCACATGTTTTCACTGGTGAATATCCACCAAACATTTATGGAAGAAATAACATCAGTTCTAAAAGAATCTTTCCCAGCCCTGGTTGAGAGATTAAGAGCATCAGCACACACACCAAAGGGTAATGGGTTTGATCCCCAGTCCAGGCATATGTGGGAGGCAACCAATCAATGTGTCTCTCACATCTTTCTTTTTTTGTTTATCCTCACCCGAGGACATTTTTGCATTTACCTTCAAATAGAGCGGGAGGGAGAGAGGAAGAGAGAAACATCGATGTAAGAGAGAAACATCGATGTGAGAGAGACACATCGAGTGGTTGCCACCCACAAGACCCCAACTGGGGCCAGGGACAAACTGCAGCTG